CTATAGGTGCACAGGCTGGGGGTGGCTAGGGAAAGTAACAAAGCATACTCCGGGGTGTATGGCCATGCTGTAATCCCTTCTGCATTCTCCTCTTGGCATTTTGGGTATGTACATACACATGCCTGGCATGTTTTCCAAGCTGCCAGGTCTGAGACTTTGACTGCCATTTGGCCATGTGGGATCCAGCCACCTAAACCACCATGCCAGTTGCTGGCCCTAAACTACAGGTCTTACTTGAATAAATTCTAGTTTTTCTACCAATGTCCTTTGTCTGAAATTACATGGTACACTTAGTTGTGTCTCCTTGGTCTCCAACCTGTGACATTTTCTCAGTTTTTCATAACCACAGTATATTTTAACTTTATTTATTTTAATTTGACCAGAGAGGGACAGAGTAAGAGAGATTGAGAGAGAGTAAGAAAGTAAGCCACCAAGTCCAGCACTTGAACTGTGGTTAGCCATGTAGGTATCCAGTGCCCTTAACCACCGTGCCACCTGCCGGCCAACCATAGTATAATTTTAAGAGTGCTATTCAGTTATTTTATAGAGTATTGTTCATTTTGGATATGAGTTATGTTTCTTACAATTACATCAAGGTTTTGTATTTTGCACAAAAATACCAGAGAAGATATGCTGTTTTATTTATTCAATATGTTTTTTACTGGTGGTAGTAGCCATGACTACTTAGCAAAGTGTTGTCTATCAGGAATTACCCATTATGAAGTCATTACTTTTTCCCTTTATTTATCCCCTTTTTCACTTTATTGTTTTTTCCTTTATCTGATTTTTTAAATTATTTATTTTATTTGTTAAAATTTTATTTATTTTTTAATTTGACCAGAAAGAGAGAAAGATGAATGTGAAAAAGCAAGACCCAAGGTCTGGGACTTGAATCACAGTCAGCCATGTGAGAGTCCAGCTCTCTCACCACCACCATTCCATCTATCAGACCCTCCTTTATCTGATTATTTTGAGACTATGCAAATGTCCTTTTTCCATTTGAACTTCCCATGATTTAAACATTTACCAGTAGCATATTTACTTTAAAATAGTTGTTTTCTGGAATTGAAATATCCCTCAAGGACTTTAAAGTTTTCCTGACTTGATGGAATGATTCATGAAGTAACTATTTACTTTTTTGTGTGTTAAAATGCTTTTAGGTATTTGACTGGAATGGTTGATAAAAGGACACTTGAGAAATATGAAAGAGAAGCTAAAGAAAAAAACAGAGAAACCTGGTATTGTAAACTTTTATACTACTATAAATTACTTTTAAGAAAATGCTGCTCACCTATTGCTTCTGTAGTCTACTAAAATATAGATTTATAATGTCTGAAATGGTATCATAAGAAAGAAAATGTCTCCCCTCCCTTTATAATACTTGATAGATCAGTTCCTGATATTTTCATAACTTACTCAGAAAATCTGGAAATAATTTAAATATCTTGTAGTGGGAGACCTGCTGTATAAATGATTAAGCCATCCATTTAAATGGTCATTATATGCGTTAAAAAATTACATTTATAGGATTTATAATAACTGACAGAAATACTACTTATAACATACATTGCCATGGTATTTAAGGAGAAGACAAGAAATACAATAGCACTTATGATATTATATGTAAATAATGCTGGGGAAAAAGGATTGGAAGGAGTTAATGAAAATGGTTGCCTTTAAGTGATGAGAGAAAGGGTCAACCTGTTTTCTGTTCCCTAATATGATCTATTATTTTTATTTATTTATTTATTTATTTGGAGAGATTTTTGCTATAGGGTGTGTGGGCTCACCAGAAAAACAGAGACAGAGAGACAAAAAGCAAGAAATCACCCTCCAGGGGGATGGCCACGCTGCAGTCCCTTCTCCTCCATTCTTCTCTCCAGTTCTTGGGCATGCACACACCAGCACCCGGCATGAGTTTAAGCTCAAACCACAATTAGCTACATGGGAGTCCAGCAATATGGTCATTACACCAATTGCTGGTCTCACTTTTTTTTTTTTTAATTTACATTCATTCACTGTATATCATTACAGTATATAAAATGAGATTTTTTTCCATCCAGAATACACTGTATCTTGGCTCAATCAAGTACATTATCATATGTGTTATCATCAACAAGTAATTTTCCATTTCTTGTTTCTTATATATTTTGCTTTCCCCCCAACCTTTGATTTCCTACCTCTCACCCACTGCCATTTCCTACCCTCCACCCACACTGTCTCCAGTATCTACAGTTGCTTTCCATGCCTTTTTTCCCCCCACATTTTACTGATTCACTAAAAATCTTAATTAAAATACTTTCAATAGCAAGCACAGCTGACATATACGTATCTATGAACACATGTCTGACTTCAGGCATAAACCTCAGTAAGTAGAATGATTGTACTATAAAGTAGCACCTAGCTGGGGCTATACAGCTTACTATAGTCATTAAATAGGCTGTTTTTTAAATACATTTTTTAATTTCAAGAAAAAAGGGGTTTTTATGTTTCTTTTTTTCTTTTTAGAGAGGTTTTTGCTACAGGACGCGTGCGTTCGCCAGAAAGACAGAGACAGACAGAAAGTGAGAAATCACCCCTAGGGGGGATGGCCATGCTGCAATCCCTCTCCTCCATTCTCCTCTCAGGATCTTGGGCACGCACGCACACGCACCCGGCTTGAGTTTAAGCTGCTGGGTCTGGGACTCGAACTGTGGTCAACTACATGGGAATCCAGCGACATAGCCATTATGCTAACTGCTGGTCCCAAGAAAAAAGTTTTAGTTTTAATAGATCAAAGTCAAAAAATGTTAAGAGAAATTTGCTTAAGACTTAAAGCCAGGAAAAAGGTTAGGATTCAGTTCAAACAGTAGGTAGATGAACCTTTCAACAGTTCAAGAGAAGACAAAAAAAATCATTAAATCTAGAAAACAAAGCATAGAAGAAAATCAGTATTGTTTTAGTCAGAAGTCATAAAACTCTTTTATTTTTTTTTTAAGCTAGAAAACCTTATCTCTGTGGGACATTGGTAGTCTTAAAAAAAGTTATATTCTTCTGTGTTAAGGGGAAAAAATTCTAATAAGTATTGAAAAGTACATGCCATAAAAATATCGATGATGAGGTAATTAAATTAATACCTGCTATTATAGGTGGTTTGAACTTACATAAATAATTTTTAGATGGCAATGCAATATTGAAGTAATTGAAGTAATTTTTAAACAAGTAACTTATCGGTCACACATGGTGGGTTAGTGAATCTCATTGCTGAAAAATATCCTCAGGTGGCCATTGTTATACTTTGTGCCAAATGACTAAAAAAAAAGAAATTTCAAGGAATTCATTCATTATTGTTGATATTGGCACTGGTATGAAGTAGTTTTTTTGTGTACTAGTGTTTGCTTATAGAATAGAATATACAATTGACTGGATATATGTAAAATTTCTAAGTGTTTGAATCATAATTATTTTTTTTACCTTGTTTTTCATTTTCACCAGTTTTGTCATAATTTAGATGTTATATGATGGACATAAAACTGGATGTCATTTACACCTTTTTTTTTAACTATTAAAGTGAACTTTATTTAAATAATTTATTTTATTTTGACCAGAGAGGGACAGGCCGAGAGAGAGAGAGAGAGAGAGAGAGAGAGCGAGCTGCCAGGTTTGGAACTTAAACTGCGGTCAGCCATGTGGGGTTCCAGCACCCCCAACCACCATTCTACCTGCTGGTCCCGACAATTATACCTTTAATAATAGAGAATATCTTTAAAATGTTTGTGTTTTTAGCAATATTATTTTCAAATTATTTCAGGTACTTGTCTTGGGCCTTAGACACAAATCAGGAAGAACGAGACAAGGGTAAAACAGTGGAAGTGGGTCGTGCCTATTTTGAAACTGAAAAGAAGCACTTCACAATTCTAGATGCCCCTGGCCACAAGAGTTTTGTCCCAAATATGATTGGTGGTGCCTCTCAAGCAGATTTGGCTGTGCTGGTAAGAAAGTCATTTCCAACCCACCTGTATGTTTGTTAGCAGCCCAACCTATAACTTAAACATTTGAATTTACCTTCTAAAAGCTAGTGTTTATGTCAGTAATCAACAATTTTGTTACACCAGTCTTCCCTAAAAAAAATCTTTATAACTTTACTTCTGAAAACATGTTTCACCTTTACTCTTCCATTGCTATTATTTATTACTATGTCAGAATTTAGTGTCTATTAAATGTAGAGCCCACCACTTGGAATTGTGGGTAAAAAATGAAAAAAAAAAAAACATCTGTTTCTTACGGCCTTCATTTTGTTGTTTGTTTTTCCATTTTGGTATAGGGCATGTTGTTGTAGGAGATAGACAGGAAGAGTGAAAAATCACTCCTCAGAGAGGATGGCCATACCATGGTTCTTTCTCCTCCATTCTCCTCTCAGGATTTTGAGGACATGTGTGTACAAACCTGTCATGATTTCAAGTCTGCTCAGGGACTTGAACTGCACAGTGGGCCACATGGGATCACTGTAGTAGCAATAAATCACATAAATGTTTGAGTTGTAAAATATGTAGAGACATGCTACTGAGTTGTCGGTAAAGTTATGATGCATTTTTGCATAGAAAAAATATATCATGACTTTTTTTCTGACAATCCAATAGATTTAAGGAAGTTGGGGAGCTAGAAGAAACATTCCAAAATCCGAGACCATCTGTACATTGAAACTCACTCACTTCTATTTTTCTTTTTCACTTCTATTTTCTTGCAAAAAAAAAAAGTTAACTGAAAGGAGTAAATGGTTTACTGCTAGATGAGTATGTCTGAATATATAAGCAAAAACTATTTGATTTCTTGGAATAGGTAATTTCAGCTAGGAAAGGAGAGTTTGAAACTGGATTTGAAAAAGGAGGACAGACAAGAGAACATGCAATGTTGGCAAAGACAGCAGGTGTAAAACATTTAATTGTGCTTATTAATAAGATGGATGATCCAACAGTAAATTGGAGCAATGAGAGATATGAAGAATGTAAAGAGAAACTAATGCCATTTTTGAAAAAAGTTGACTTTAATCCCAAAAAGGACATTAACTTTATGCCCTGTTCAGGACTGACTGGAGCAAATCTCAAAGAGCAATCAGATTTCTGTCCCTGGTACATTGGATTACCGTTTATTCCATATCTGGATAATTTGCCAAACTTCAATAGATCAGTTGATGGACCAATCAGGTTGCCAATTGTGGATAAGTACAAGGATATGGGAACTGTGGTCCTAGGAAAGCTGGAATCGGGATCTATTAGTAAAGGCCAGCAGCTTGTGATGATGCCAAACAAGCACAATGTGGAAGTTCTTGGGATACTTTCTGATGATGTAGAAACTGATTCTGTAGCTCCAGGTGAAAATCTCAAAATCAGACTGAAAGGAATTGAAGAAGAAGAGATTCTTCCAGGATTCATACTTTGTGATCCTAATAATCTTTGTCATTCTGGTCGCACATTTGATGCCCAGGTAAACTAGTTAATGTGGTTGTCTTAGTGATCTTTAGTGTCTAAATGAAATTAGAATTTCATTGTCTTTTGTTCTGATTATTGGTATCATGCCATTTAGTCTGTAGAAAAGGAACTGAAATAGTATAAACCATTCATATATCACAACCATGATGTGTATCTCATAAAATATATCATGACTTTTTTTCTGACAATCCAATAGATTTAAGGAAGTTGGGGAGCTAGAAGAAACATTCCAAAATCCGAGACCATCTGTACATTGAAACTCACTCACTTCTATTTTTCTTTTTCACTTCTATTTTCTTGCAAAAAAAAAAAGTTAACTGAAAGGAGTAAATGGTTTACTGCTAGATGAGTATGTCTGAATATATAAGCAAAAACTATTTGATTTCTTGGAATAGGTAATTTCAGCTAGGAAAGGAGAGTTTGAAACTGGATTTGAAAAAGGAGGACAGACAAGAGAACATGCAATGTTGGCAAAGACAGCAGGTGTAAAACACTTAATTGTGCTTATTAATAAGATGGATGATCCAACAGTAAATTGGAGCAATGAAAGGTAACTGAGATGTCTTATCATTTTTTAATAGAAATGTTAGTGGAATAAAAGGTGATTTTGCTCTTGCATGCCTTTTTCCCTGGGGATTTGAATTTCAAAGCCTTAATTTACTTACTGATGAAACTACAGTTCATTTGGTTTATATTATAATTAAGTTATTTGTAAATATTCATAGATACGAAGAATGTAAAGAGAAACTAGTGCCATTTTTGAAAAAAGTTGGCTTTAATCCCAAAAAGGACATTCACTTTATGCCCTGCTCAGGACTGACTGGAGCAAATCTCAAAGAGCAATCAGATTTCTGTCCTTGGTACATGTAAGTAAACTTATTTAAAAAAATAATAATAAAAAGTATGTCTTAATTAGTAATTTTACTGACTATAACCTTACCTTTTACAAATATCAGGACTTTTGCACCTGTTTTTGGCCAAATGGCATGTAGTGTGGTGAAAAAGAAAGCACCTTTCATTAGGAATGGTCATACTGTAATCCCTTCTCTGTTTTTCTCTTATCAGGATTTGGGTTCACACATGCACGTAGCATGTTTCTTAAGCTGCTGGGTCTGGGACTCCAACCACATACTTGGCCATGTGGGATCTATGTAGAAGCCAGATGCCTTAACCACCAGGCTACAGACTGGCTCCTTTGCCCTTTTTAAAACTGATTTTTCTTTTTGTTATTGAACAGTAAAAATTCTATATGTGTTGTGTAGTCCCTTATCTGATACATAATGAGCAAATATTTTCTTCCTTTGGTAAGGTTTTTGCCATAGGGCATTTGCACTGGGGCTAGAGACAGAAAGACAGTGAGAGGGGAAGTGAGAATTCAGGCCCAAGAGGGGATGGTCATTCTGCAGTCCCTTTACCTCCATTTTCCTCTCTGGATATTGGGCGTGCACACACACGCACTGGTATAATTTTCAAGCCACAGGATCTGGGACTCAGACCATGGTTGGCCGTGCACCTTAACCACTATGCCACGTGCTGGCCCTCTTCCATTCTTTTTTATTTCCTCAAGAGGGCACGGGTACAGAACAGAGAGGGAGAAAGCACCCTACAGAGGTGTGGTCAAACCACAATACCTTCTCTTCCATTTGTCCATCCTGTTAGGATATTGGGCATACATATGCACCTGGTATGTTCTTCAAGTTGCCAGGGCTGAGATGCAAACTGCATACTCAGTCATGTGAGATCCAGCTTTTTCAACCACTAGGCCACGGGCCAGCCCTAATTTACTCCCATTCTGTGGACTGACTTTTTTACTTTCTGATGGTGTCCCTATTAATTACAAAAGGTTTTAATTTTGTTGAAGTCCAAGTTGTCTGCTTTTCTTTTTGTTGATTGTTCTTTTGCTGTCATACACATGAAAACTTTTTTTTTTTTTTTTTTGAGAGGTCTTTGCTATAGTGCGCGTGCGCTCACCAGAAAGACAGAGACAGACAGAAAGATAGAAAGTGAGAAATCACCCCCCGGGGGAATGGCCATGCCGCAATCCCTTCTCCTCCATTCTCCTCTTGGGATCTTGGGCAGGCACACACAGGTGCCCGGCGTGAATTTTAAGCCACCGAGTCCGGGACTCAAACCATGGTCAGCTACATTGCAGTTCAGCGACATAGCCATTACACTAACTGCTGGTCCCCCAAGAAAACATTTGATCCAAAGTCACAAATATCAGCTGAATTTTCTTTTCCGAGATTATTTTGGCTATTCTGAGTCACTTGAATGTCCATGTGAAAAGATCAGCATGTAATTTCTGCAGAATAGGCAACTGAGTTTTTTTTTTCCCTTGTTTGTTTTCTGTTGTTATTTTTTAGATTTTTGTCATACAGTGCATGCACTCTTCAGAGAAAGACAGAGAGAAGAAAAGTGAGAAATTGTCTCCCAGGAAAATGACTACACCACAGTCCCTTCTCTTTCATCCTCTTCTTCAGATTTTGGGCATGCACACACACAGGCCTGGTGTGATTTTCAAACCACCAGGTTTGGGACTCAAACCATGGTCCACCTATGTGGGAGTCCAGAGTCTTAACCACCATACCCCCCACTGGCCCTGGCAGCTGAGATTTTAATAAGGATATTATATGTGGGCTATTTTTTTTCTAAGACCTTATTCATTTAAATTTGACCTATTATTCAATTTGACCAGAGAGAGAGAAAATAAAGCATGCTCCAGTCCTGGAAACCTGAACCACGGTCAACTATGTGGGAATCCAGTGACCTAACCCCCATACCACCTGCTGGTGCCCTATATTCTATTTTATATATTTATATTTATACACACACACACATATAGATATATAATGTATATATATATTTTATTTATTGTGAAAAGGAAGCCTCCAGCCAGGTCTGGGACTCAAACTACAGTTGATCATGTGGGAGTCCAGTACCTTCAACACCTTGCCACCTGCCAACCCCTCTATAAAATATTTTTAATAAATTTATAGGGAAGCCTTATGTTGTACTGTTTTTTTTTTTTCTTTTGTTTTTCTAAGCAATAAATGAGAAGGCATGGATAATAAACTGGTTGAAGTGATTACATATGTAGAATGAAAACATTCTGTTTTTTGTTTAAAGTTACAGTCATGTAACTTTTCTAAATTTTGGTATTTATGTTGCCTTTCTTTAATGGATTTTGTTATGTTCTCAGTGGATTACCATTTATTCCATATCTGGATAATTTGCCAAACTTCAATAGATCAGTTGATGGACCAATCAGGCTGCCAATTGTGGATAAGTACAAGGTACCCAAATATCAAAGAAATTGTGTTTTATTATGGGAGGTGAAATCACTGTTTTACGTTTTGTTTCTATATGAAACAACTTTTATCAACAACATAACATTGATGTCTTTTTTTAATGGCTACCTATAACTTAGTGGGATAGATCATACAGATTTGCTTTATTTCATCTGTTTTTCTTGAGCCAGTGATCCTTTCTGAAACTGTTGGGTTCAAAGATTTTTTTCTTATTAATGTTGATGGGTTTTGATAAGCAGTCTCCCAAAAGAAGTGTGCTAACTGCTTTTGTTAGCATGCGAGTACTAGTTTTGCAGTAGCCTTATCAAACCTGGCTTTACTGTTTTTAACTGGCTTTTCAACTTGATGTTTTAAGTTTCCATTATCAACTTATGTGATGTTTTCTTCTCCTCAAATATTTCATTCTTTGAACCAGCTGCTCTCTAAAATTATTTTTTGTTTACAATGTTTATTATTATTCTTCTTTAATTTTACCAGAGAGAAAGAAAACCACTAGGTCTGGGACTTGAACCATGTTCTGGCATGTGGAAGTCCAGTGCCTTAACACCACATGCAAGCCCCCTAATTTTTTTTTTTTAGAAGTTTTTGCTATAGGGCACTTACTGGCAAGAAAGACAAAGTGGCCATTCCCCCTGAGGATGCTAAAGTCCCTTCTCTTCCATTCTCCTCACACAATTTTGGGCACTCATATACCCGTGCCTAACGTGAGTTTCAAGCCTCCAGATCTGGGACTCAAACCACAGTCGGCCATGTGGGAGTCCAGTGACACAACCACTACACCATCTATTGGTCCCCCTTAAAATTCTTAGACAAGATTTATTTTTCTAACTTTACATATGTAGAAACAGTTTCAGAGATCAGGAGAACCTGAATTTGTACAAATAAATCAGAACTTCCAATGTAAAATTTTGTACTATTTTCCGCATCATGCTTTCTTTTTAAATTTAGGCATACTTAATTACTGATAACTATAATCATACATGTGCTTATAACAAATTACAGAGTATTGGTTATCTTCCCTGTGTTTAAGGTTAATCCTAAGCACTCTGCCACTTAGGCTAGTGATGTTCCTTTATGAGTGTGTTCTGCAGAATTTCACTTTGGGTTCTTAAGTGACTGTGCATCAGCATAAAAGTCTGAAACTTGATATTTTTAAATTTCAACAGGATATGGGTACTGTGGTCCTAGGAAAGCTGGAATCAGGATCTATTAGTAAAGGCCAGCAGCTTGTGATGATGCCAAACAAGGTAAGAATTACTAATGCTTTTTCTCATATAGACTTTGACTTAAAAATATCAGCAAGGAGCCAAACTTTTCATGAGCTTAAGGATTTTCACTAAAATAAACTAAACTCTTCTCTAAGTCAGGATTATGGTTTGTTAATGTCATGTATAAATCTAAGGAGGACTATATAGTATTACTATTATTCCATGACAAATGTGGGCGGGGGGTTAGGATCAGTGTTAATACAACTTTAGAGCAAAAGGATGATCATGAAGAGATCAGGAACCCTGTTATTTTATAGACAAGTAAATGGAGATCTAGAGTGGTTATGTTAAACTTGGTTCAGTTAACATAATGGATTAGTAATAGCACCATGGATGAAAACTTAGATTAATCATGATATTGTAAGCTTGCTTCTTTTTCTTCTGTAGGTGTGTTTGTAGTTAGTTTGGATACTTTAATGTGTCCAAGCTAGTCTTTTAAATGTCTTTAGAGCAGATTTGTGTTTATTATAAATGTCTTTCTTTAAAAAAAAATTAAAAATGAAAAAAAAAAAAAAAACACCTCTTTCCTGTCTTATTGTGATTTCATTTCCTTTGTGGTGATGAAAACACAAGTTCTGGGACCAGCAGTTAGCATAATGGCTGTGTCGCTGGACTCCAACGTAGTCGACCGTGGTTTGTGTCCTGGACCCGGTGGCTTAAAACTCACGCCGGGCGTGTGTGTGTGCGCGTGCATGCCCAAGATCCCAAGAGGAGAATGGAGGAGAAGGGATTGCGGCATGGCCAGTCCCCTTGGTGGGTGATTTCTTGCTCTCTGTCTCTCTGGCGAGCGCACGTGCCCTATAGCAAAAACCTCTTAAAAAAAAATAAAACAAAACAAAAAAAACACACAAGTTCTGAATGTTGGTTGCACAACATTGTGAATGTATTTATAGTACTGAAATACATACTTAAATTGGCTAAGATGATGCCAGCTCTAGGCTTGGTGTTTGGGGCAGCCAGATTACATGTAGCTGAACATATAATGTGAGTCCCAGGCCCAGCAACTTGAGAAACATGCCAGATTTGTGTACGTGAGTGCCCAAATCTGGAAGGGATGGAGAAATGGAAAAGAAAGGTCTATTTTGACAAATTTTATTTCCATATCTTACAGAATTATTACAAGATACAGACTGATCTTTAAAGCTTTTCTAGATTGTTAATTAACTCTTGATTGTAACAAATAGTCCATGGATGTATGGGGAGGGGGTTGTTCTTTTGTTTCTTTTTTTTGCCAGAAATGGTGTGTGCTTACCAAGGAGAGAAAGTGGATAAGTGAGAGAGCACCTCCCATGGGGGATGGTCATGTTGCCATTTTTCCTGTTTTTTGTTTCTCCCATTTTTTTTTTTTATTTTACGCACATATACACACATGCCCAGAATGTTTTTCAAGCTACTGGGTCTGGGACTGATCCATGCAGCTAACCTTTTGGGATCTAGTTACTTTAAACACTATGCTACTAGCTGGCCCAGAAGCCCATGGTTCTAATTCCTGCATTCTTTTTACTTCAGTGCTAGGCTGTGGCAGAAAGGTGAAGCAAAAGAACAAGTGCTATTAGATGGGATACTCAATAAGATACACCATTAGTAACATTGAGTACATTAACACTGCTGTGCAACCATCACCTCTCTAGTTCCAGAATGTTTTCTTCATCATATCAAGGAAACCCTGTACCCATTAAACAGCTAATATATTTTAACTTTTTGGCAAAAACTTTAAAAAAAAAAAAAAAAGCAATGTGCACTCTCTGGAGAGAGAGAGACAGAATGAGAAATCATCCCCATAAAGGGCCACACCATAATCCTTCCTCCTCCATTCTCCACTCAGGATCTTGGGCATGCACAGACATGTGCCCAGCATAGATTTTCAAGCCACCAGGTCTAGAACTTGAACCACGGAGTCGGCCATGTGTGAATCCAGCACCTTAACCACCACATCACCTACTGGCCCCAGTTAATATTCTTAAGCTTAGTTGTCGGGGATTGATAGGTGTCTGTTAAACCCTCAAATCTCATAATAATAAAACATACATTCTATAAAGCTAAAAAACGAATACTCAATTTAGTGTATTAATATTGGAAAGATAAAAGGCAAATGCTAGTTTCTATTGTGTTCTATTTGGAAATTATTAGCAAATAATTAAAAGCACAAACTAACACTTTTGTGTTTTGTTTTTGTTTTTTGTTTTTGGAGAGGTTTTTGCTATAGGGCACATGCACTTGCCAGAAAGACAGAGACAGACAGAAAGCGAGAATTCACACCCCAGGGGGGGTGGCCTCGCCACAATCCCTTCTCACCCATTCTCCTCTCGGGATCTTGGGCACACACACGCACCCAGCGTGAGTTTAAGCCACCGGGTCTGGGACTCAAACCATGGTCAACTACATGGGAGTCCAGCAACATAGCCATTACGCTAACTGCTGGTCCCGATTTTCATTACATTTATATCATACAGATATAATAAGGGTTTGTATTTATGTGAGCATTTTAGCTAATCAACAATCACAGAAATATGTGACTAGTAACTTTCATTCTTGGTTTCTTTTTAAGCACAATGTGGAAGTTCTTGGGATACTTTCTGATGATGTAGAAACTGATTCTGTAGCTCCAGGTGAAAATCTCAAAATCAGACTGAAAGGAATTGAAGAAGAAGAGATTCTTCCAGGATTCATACTTTGTGATCCTAATAATCTTTGTCATTCTGGTCGCACATTTGATGCCCAGGTAAACTAGTTAATGTGGTTGTCTTAGTGATCTTTAGTGTCTAAATGAAATTAGAATTTCATTGTCTTTTGTTCTGATTATTGGTATCATGCCATTTAGTCTGTAGAAAAGGAACTGAAATAGTATAAACCATTCATATATCACAACCATGATGTGTATCTCATAAGGTCTTCAAGATGGTACACGTGCTTACTGGATTGGGAGTATCCTTTGTAAGTTCCTTTTTATTTTTGATTTCCTGTTTATAAATTTTAGAATATCTAGTACCCACTTTGCCTTGAAGTCATGGTTTGTGTGTTCATTCAGAGCAAATCACTTTCCAAACAGAAGATCACAAATTTTCTCCATTATTAGCAACCTGACTTCTCTAGGAGAATGAGAGAGTAGATGATTAGTGTGTTTCACCGAAGTTTTTAGTTTTATCACAGGTATGATGACTAATCATGTTAGAATTTTTAGGCCAGATATAAGTACTTCTTCTGGACCTTGAATATTGAGAAATGGATAAAGTTATGATAAGTTCACACCTAGGTAGTTTGTAGGTGGTGATAAGTAGCTTAATTCCTTCAAAAGTGTAAGGGAAAGGCTTCTCAGAGAAGAAAGTCTGCCTGCTGTTTTTAAAGTTGACTAGGCACTTGCAAGATGAATAGAGTATAGAATATTGAAATTTATTCTTTGAGGTTGGGTAGTCTGACCCATCCTGATAAGACCCATCACCCAAAAATAAGTTGATGTCCTAATAAGACGGTGAGTGACTCTAATTATGCTATTATGTGGCATTTTAAAACATTCGATTCTTTTTTACCCTGGGGATAAAGATAGGAATTTCTGTTTGTTTGTTTGTTTGTTTGACAGATAGTGATTATAGAGCACAAATCCATCATCTGCCCAAAGTATAATGCGGTGCTGCATATTCACACCTGTATTGAGGAAGTCGAAATAACAGTGAGTTTGTTAATTGTTTTGTTTTAAAACATTTATTAATAATTTATTTTGGTTTTAAGACTTTTATTTTGATCATTGTGATCGGTAACAGTGATCCACTTCTACTTATACTCCTTAAAGATTCTTTTATCTGGCTTTATTTTGATGTTCTCATTCTCCTTTTTTTGGATAGGCCTTAATCTGCTTGGTAGACAAAAAATCAGGAGAAAAAAGTAAGACTCGACCTCGATTTGTGAAACAAGATCAAGTATGCATTGCTCGTTTAAGGACAGCAGGAACCATCTGCCTTGAGACTTTTAAAGATTTCCCTCAGATGGGTCGTTTTACCTTAAGAGATGAGGGTAAGAACTTTTAAAATGATGTCTAGTAGTATATCTAGTGCATCTAGGATACCTTGCTTTGGTAATCATCTGAGCACAGTATACATTACAACAAAGAAAACTTGAACTGGTTATAATTTATTTATATAGCGCTGGCTCTGTGGTGTAAAGGTTTAAGGGGAGCCAGACCCCAGACGGCTGCTCATGTGGTTTGGGTCCTGGTCCTAGTGGCTTGAAAAATGCAAGACACTTATGTATTACATGCACCAAATCCTAACAGGATAAAAATGGAGAAAGGACTGTATCATGACCATACCCCATTGTTCGGGTGCTTTCTCCTTTTCTCTTTCGCAAGTTTATGTACTTTGGGTTTTTACAAAACCTAAAGAAAAATAATTTATTTGGGGACCAGCAGGTAGTATAATGGTTTCACTGTTGATTCCCATATAGTTGACTGCATTTTGAGCCCCAGACCCAGTGACTTAAACTTCACACCTGGCTACGTATGTGTCCATGCCCAAAATCCTGAGAGGAGAATGGAGAAGGGATTACAGTGTAGCCATCCCCTCTGTGGGGTGATTTCTCTCTTTCTGTCTGTCTGTTTCTGTCTCTCCAGTGAGTTTACATGCCCTATAGCAAAAATCTCTCCCAAAAATTATTTATATAATAAATATTTTATGAGTTCATAAAGCAGGCAAAATTGACCATGTGCTTTCAAATAATTTTAATTATGATATTTTGTGTAGTGGGTTTGGAGATCTTTTTTTTTTTTTTTTTTTCCTTTTTTCCAGGGTTTTGCCATAGGGCGTATGAATTCACCAGAGACGGGAGATGGGGGTGAAAAGTCACCCCCCCTAAAAAAATCCCTTTTCCATTCTCTTGGGATTTGGTATACGCACACACAACCACACGTGACCATGTGAAAGAGTAGCAATTTAATCACCATGCCACCTGCTGGTTCCTAAAGAATAGTTTTATTTACTAAAATTCATGAAGAAATCCTTCATAATATGAAGTATAAAAAGGATAGTTGGATGAATTTTTATTTTTGTCCACACCTAATTTTTCCAAGGTCTGATATTTATGTTCTTTGATAAACATCAATATCTATCAACCTCTGGGAGATGCAGAACATCTGTAATTTTCCTTTTTAGGGTCATTAAATTCTTTGGTATGAAATGACTTAAGAATTTTTCTTTTGGGTTACTAATACTTCTAACTTAATAGCTATTTTAGGACTGGAGTAGTTTATATAAAACTCCTTTTCTATTGAAATACACAGTAGTCAATTTACCTGTTAGTTGCAATGCATTTTATTAAAAATTTATTGTATTGCTAAAATGCTAGGAACTATGCTAAGTTTTGATGAATATGGTCCCTGAATCTTATTTCAGAGAAAACTGTACAGTTTTATGCTTTAAGCCCTTATTAAAACTGATTATTGAAGTTATCTTATAAACTTAACAAAATGGTAATTTTTATTACCAGTGAGAACATGATCAAATCAGACAAACAGAAGAAACTAACGTAGCGAAATTTTTTTTTTCTTTTTTAGGCTTTTGCCATAGGGCGTGTGCACTTGTGAAAGAAAACAGATAGTGAGAGGGAAAGTGATTAAGTCACCTCCCAAGGGGATGGCCACACTACAGTTTCTTCTTCTCCATTTTCTCCTAAGATTTTGGGCACACACGTACCCTGTGTGGATTTCAAGCTGCTGGGTCTGGAATTCGACTGGCTTCAGCCATGTGGGGTCCAGTGCCGTAACCAGTACACCACCTGTAGCCCCTATAGTTGAAAATTTTAACTCCAAACTTTTTTTTTTTCTATGACAAAGTTTATCACAAGCATGGGGTTTCATGTCCTTTTCAGTCCATAGAAAACTACTGTGAGGATGTGTTTGTTCACTGGATGGCAGTTCAGTGATAACTGGGGTCTTGGGGTTTGTTTTGTCTTTTTGTTTGTTTTTAAGGTAGGCTAAGTAAGAAACCACCCTCCCTGACCCCGAGGAGATGGCCACACTATAATCTCCTTCCTCCATCATCCCCTCGGGATTTGCGGCATGTGGGCACATATGCCCAACATGATTTTCAAGCCACCAGGTCTGGGACTCCAGTGACCGTCAGCCATGTAGGAGTCAGCACCTTCACCACCATACCACCTGCTGGCCCCTAAAGGGTAAATTTAAAAATATTTTCCAGGACTGGGGCTAGCAGGTGGCATGGTGCTTGGGGTCGCTGGACTCCCACATGGCTGTCTGCAGTTAAGAGTCCTGGACCTGGCAGCTTGCTTTCTCAACCACCCACCCCCCAGCCCCCCATCTTGCTCTGTCCCCCTCTGGTCAAATTAAAGTAAATATTTTTTTTTAATAATAAATGATTGAATAAAGTTAAGTAAAATAATTCCTTAAAACATATTTTCTAGGACCTATTTTTTCACATGGCCTAAGAGGCTAAGTTACTTAAGGTTTTGCTATAGGGCATGTCTGCTCACTGGCTCCTTTTTATCTTTTTAGTTGCACAAAGATAGGTTTACTTTTCTAGCCATTTTTCTTTTTCTTTCTTTCTTTCTTTTTTTTTTTTTTTTTGCCTTTTTTTTTTTTTTTTTGCCTTTTTTTTTTTTTTTTTGAGAGAGAGACTTTTTGCTATAGGGCACGTGCACTCACCAGTGAGAGTTAGAAAGCAAGAAATCACATCCCCACACCCCAAGGGCAATGACCACACCACAATCCCTTCACCACCATACTCCTCTCAGGATTTTAGGCACTCATGCATACATGCCCAGCATGAGTTTTAAGCCCCCGGGTCCGGGACTCAAGCCTCAGCTGACTACATAGGAGTCCAGTGACATAACCATTATGCCATCTGCAGGTCTCACTTTTCTAGCAGTTTTCTTGGGATATAATTTACAGAGCTGTATAGCCATCACCACTTTGTAACTTGAAAACATTTAGAACATCTTAAAAAAAAATACTTTGGGCTCATTTATAATCACCACCCTAGAGTAAATCACTAAACTACTTTTCCTGTTTGCCTTTGACATTCCAGAAATAGAATCATAGAATATGTGGTCTTGTGTGTGTGTGTGTGTGTGTGCGTGTGTGTGTGTGTGTGTGTGTGTATTTCATTTAGCATAATTTTGAGATTCAGCCATGTTTATATATTGTATTTGGTTGTTGGGAAAGTCATTGATACTGATTCAACTTTCCTGATGACCTAATAATTATTCTTTTTTATTGCTGAATAACATTTCATTGTATGTATATTTTACATTTTGTTTACTTAAGGATAGTTATTTGATATACAGAATCGTATCTTTTTCAACTCCCTCCAAAAATACCCAGTTATGTTTTTATAAGAACTTTTATTTTTTAATATATAATTATTTCTTTTATTTATTCATTCATTTATTTTAATTTGACCAGAGAGAGAGAAAGATTGAGAAAGCAAGCTGCCAGGTCCGGGACTCGAACCGTGGTCAGCAATGTGGGAGTGTCCAACACCTTAACCACCACTCCATCTGCTGGTCCCAATACCCAGTTATTAAGACTACCTAGTCAAGAATCATGGCTTTGGCAGATGAAATAATTAGAAATTTATATTGTAGAATATTTTTATTATTTAAAATAAACAAACTTTAATACTTCACATAAACTTGCTGTTGACTACTGAAAGATTTTCTTTAAATTTCATTTCTAGGTAAGACCATTGCAATTGGAAAAGTTCTGAAACTGGTTCCAGAGAAAGACTAAGCATTTTCTTGATGACCCTGCACAAAATACTGTGAGGAAAATTGACTGCAAAGCCTACTTCACACCGCCTTCTCTTATTTTCTGCCCATTGATAACTCTCCCCATATTTTGCAAAAAGAAAATTCACAGCAAAAGTCCACATTATGTCAGCTTTCTCATATTGAGAGCTCTGCTATGCCACTGTTGAATTTTTCCCAAGATTTCCCTACCCTTTCAAACTCTGCTCTTGGACAGATTTGGCAATAGCTTTGTAAGTGATGTGGACATAATTGCCTACAATAATGAAAATCTACAGAAAATTTTTTATTTTTCATTTTTCCCTTAGGCATATTGAGTCTATTTCCCCCCAGGCAGATCATTCTGAGTGTGCGAGTGTGTGTGCACATGTTAAAAAGACAACTACCATGTTAATAAAATATTCAATTTGAAACCCTTTTCGGTATTTGAATTGCTTTTGAATAATGTTTTTTATCTGGATGTAACATTGTTGCATTAGCTTTTTAACTTTCCCAAGTAAGTGAATACATTTTATTACTTGGGCTTTTCTAAACTCTTCCCTACCCACTACTTCAAATGAGGCATTTACAATGTTCAAGTTTATATTAAAGGAAAGAATTAGTTCGTCCCCTCTTTTGATGGTGAGTGCATACATACAAACTAAATTCCTTTATGCAACAGTGACACCACTTTACTAGGCCTGTCAGTTATTTTCTGCCAATTTATATTTTCACATGGTTTCTTAAACAGTAAGCTGTTTAAAAAGAACAGCATACTGTAGTTTTTATAAGTAAAATTTAATGAAATTGTACCCCTCCAGAAAATTCTATTAACTCGTTAAATTAGTGGAATTAATAATAAAGCATGTTGAGACCTGGCAAAAATGCCTCCTTAGTATTTATAAGAGCTGCATGCATCTAGTATGAAAACCATATTAATTGCAAGTGCCAGTCCTACAAGATACTCAGTTTACTCTATATCAGTTAACTTTAAAGGTTGGATGATCCTTGCTGGGAAAGCTGAATCTCAGTCCAGCGACTAAACCAACACACATTAGAATCATCAGAACCTACACAGACAAAAATGAACCATGACGATAAGTAGAATCAAGCACAGTATAAGTTCTTTCTCAATTATTTGAAATCAACTTTTCTTAAGTATAAAGCTAAAATTTGCTAACCATGATTTGAGTGAACCACAATGTAACACTATGGTGTTTTTAGATTGAAGACTGACTACTGTAATTATCATGACTTTGAAATCTTTCATGAGAATAAATGGGAAATGAAAGACAATTTCTGTGTTTAAAGTCCCCTTGATGTTAAGTGTTGCCATCTATCAAAGGATTAACTTCTTTTAGATAGTGATTTATTTCTGAGATACTTCATAATTGTACATTTAATGACAAGTCTCTCCTGTAATCTTGCTCCTCAGAAAAGAAAAGCCTAGTCAAACTATATTTCTGTATTTTCACCCACTAAAACCATTAAGACATAATCTGATAGCTTTCGTATCTGTGGAATTCCCATTCCTTTCCTAAATGAGGCTAGGTCTCATGGAAAGAGCAAAGTTATCATCTTAAACGTTCTTATAACTATACTTATGGTTATTAACCACATGACAAATAAATTTTATTATGTCTACAAATCTCTGGCTTTTATTTTTCTAGGAAGTATAGGAATGTTAATTAAAACATGATAGTTCTTTTTGAACTTCCATGTTAATAAAAACATACTAGCAATTGTTTGAACTTTAACGACTCTTTAAAGTTCAAGAATCACTAAAATTATAAGATTTTCCTTTTTAAATTGAACACATTTTTTAAAAAGTTATGTTTGCTATTAAAATATTTACACTGTTGAGACCATTTATGTGCATGTTGCCAAGTCGCTTAAATAAAAATGACTTGGATATCAGCTGCAAAAGGGCTACCTCTAAAAAAAAAACAACATAATTAAAATACAAATGTAACTATAAAAAAATTTCTTGGAATCTTCCACATTTGCAAGATTAAATTAGATATATATTTTTTTAATTTCACCGTTAAGATCATAACATTTTAGGGGCTTTGAAAGTCTTTGGGAAGTATTACCACTTAAAGTTGATGCATTCTAAACTGGTTACACTGGCTAGTCATTTGCATAAGGAAAGAGTCTGATGTGAATTGGTGGTATATAGAGATATGGGACCTTTAAAAGAGCAATATAAATCCCTCTGCTCTCATTCTGTCTTAAGCAAATGTGAACACATTTATAAGCTTAACAATGCAAAACATTGTTAACAACCTAAACAATCTTTTCTCTATCTTCAGCATAGTATGTTAGAATCATGATTTTCCTTACATCTTTTTACATTAATGATGTTCTTTACACAACTTTCATGATAGGTTATTTAATTATAGTTTTTTAAATTAATCGAGTGAATTTAAGAGATGTCATTGACAGAAATATATAAGTAGTTGTCATTTTAAACCCTATTTCTTACTGTGGAAGAAGGGAAGAGAGCATTTATTTCTTGTTTTTTAATTTGTAAAATGACTTATCCAGTGAAATATATGTAAAATAAAACCAAAAGAGTTGGAGTGTACATTGCCATGAAATTAAGTGACAAATAGTAAAGTGTTCTTGAATTATTAAGCCCATGTATATTTGTTTTGAATTGAAAATCTTAAATATGTGTTAATTGAATGTAAAAACACTGTAAACTAAAAGTACAGGTTGTTCACCATAAGAAGTAAGTCATACTTGTTTGCTAGTTACATAAACTGTAAGAACTGCTTTTACAATATGGGACTTTGAACACAATCTAGTTGAACAATTACTGGCATCCTCTCAGCTAAAGGACTGCAAATATTTTGGGTCATATTTGGAACCAAATGCATTTTTAGAACCCAGGAAAAAGTTGGACCTATATTCAAAAACTGCTCCCAAGATGAACTTTTGGAAAAAAATCAGCAAAACTCCCCTGGCAATCTTCAGAAACACTAGTATGACTAATTAATCCAGGATCTTTGATGACTGTTACACATGACAGCACGCTAGACTTTCCTCCTTGGCATGGACTTCCTCACAAACTGCTACTTCATGAACGATAGCTTCATTGCTTTGGGTAGTCAAGGGACAGATAACTTAGTTTTTATTATAGCTCTTAACATCAGGCAATTTTTAACCTTTAAACCCTTTGTGAAAATTCCGGTTATGGAACTATAGCTGACTGTAGGATGATTAAATGTTATATTCAGTGTTGGCCTACCTTATCAGAACATATTGTGCCATTAATCCTCTCACAGACATATGTGAGGCAGATAACAAACAACTGGATTTGGAGAACTATTGTGTCTCTAAATAATATGGCTTTTATTCCTCTAGCTTAATTTTTTTTTCAATTTTGTTTCTTTGTTTAGTGATCTTGCCATAGCAGCAACTCGTTAAGTAAGTGTAATTACATATCCACAACTCAAAAATATTTACTAGCTTTTAAATTTAGCAGTCGACTGGTTATGTTAGATTCATAGTAAATGAAATAGGAAGTGTTTTTTCTATTTCTCAGTAGTAATTCAGTGGATTCCATTTGAACCAATTTACTTCCAGAATTCAGACAAGGTAATGTGGTTCAACTTTTGATGGTTTGGGTTCTAGGATGTTCTTGTTTTTCAGTATCTTAGAACTTATTGAGTCTTCCTTCAATAAATAAGTACACTTCTCACATACCTCTAATCCTATGCTTCCTTGAAACTAATATGTTAGCTGAGTTGTTTACTAAGGATTATTATAAGGGCCTGGAGGTGTGGGGGTGGAGTTTAAAACCTTCCTGTTTTCTATTATAAGGGAAAAGCAGATAGGCACTATGATTAAGCAGAAAACACCAGGATTTCTGAAGCAACCCTCAAAATAGTCATGTTTTCTGCCTTGTCACATATGCCATTGTGCCCTTGAAAACAATGTGGAATCCTCAGGTTTGTGGACAGCACAGGTAGAGAAACATTATGTGCTTCCTGAGGCTCTCCTCTGCTAGGCACATTAGTTTAGTGCTTCAGACGTCAGCCCCAGCCCTTGCTACCTCCTTCCGGCTGCCCGGGGAAGAGTGTGCTGGAGCTTAAGCTCTTGCACTCCTCAGGTGATCATCCTCCCCTTCATTTCCTCCATATGCATTAAGTGACACAGGTTTAAGCCTGCCTGTCTACATTTTAAGGACTCACCCATTGGGCTCTCAGAAGTACACACTTTCAGTTACCTAGTTTCTTCTATTCTAAAGGAAATGTAGATATTTCACAGGCCAGAATTTGGTGATTAGTTTTCACTAGACAGCAGGTTAATGACCTAGATCTCATTTTTTTTTTAAAAGAATATAAAGGATTAAAGGGAACTGATTAGGTTTGCTGAATTTTTTAGCCAAATTCCAAAGCATGAAACAGTTCTCTAGGTAGGAAAAAAAAAACTTTTTCTTATGATTTGTAGCTACCTACTGTGCCTGACATGGTGCCTGTGTGAGGATTAAGCCCTTAGTCTGCTCTTGCAATTATTCAAATGACTGAAGTTAAATTTGCTTTTGTAATAACAATAAAAATTGTCATCTTCCCTTTTGAAGGATTTTGTCTGTTTGTTTGCAGTAATCTATGTTGGATATAAACCATGCGAATTTCTATACAATCTTTTATGTTTGTATCACTTATTGCAACCATCTAGCAAAATTGTTGGATGGATCTACCAGCTCTGTCATACAAGGTATTTTCTGATGTGTTGATTGCTTGCATATGGTAACAAAGGCTTTTGAATAGTGTATATGACAGTCTTAGCAAAAAACAGCAGCCCTGTAAGAAGTTAGGGATGTGATGCTACCTAACTATATCATAGTATGTGATTTTATGGAGTAGAATTGGGGAAACATTGATGATTATTTGGCCAGGAGTTTGAATATCTATAGAATTTTTTTATGGAGATTTTTGCTATAGGGCACATGCACTCACTGGAGAGACAGACCGAAAGCAAGAAATCACCCCCCACCAGGGAGAATGGCCACAAGGCAGTCCCTTCTCCATTCTCTTAGGATTTGGGGCATACACACACATGCGCCCAGCATAAGTTTTAAGCCACGGGGTCTGGGACTTGGAACTGCAGCCGACTATATGGGAGTCCAGTGACATAACCACTACACCATCTGCTGGTCACCAGAATTTTTAATACAGATCAAGAACTGAATAACCAGTACTTGCCAGGACCAGTAGATGGCATAATGACTACGTCATTGGACTCCCATGTAGTCGACTGCAGTTTGAGTCCCAGACCCAGTGGCTTAAATTCACACCAGGCGCCTAGGCATACATGCCCAAGATATCAAAAGGAGAATGGAGAAGGGATTGAGGTGTGGCCATCCTCCCTGGGGTTGATTTCTCGCTTTCTGTCTCTCTCTTTCTGGCAAGTGCACGTACCCTATAGCAAAAAACCTCTCCCCAAAAAAACAAAACATAAATAATAATTGCCCTCTTCTTTTTAAAAAAGAATTATTTATTTTAATTTGACCAGAGAAAGACACAGAGGAAGACAGAGAAAGCGAGAAAGCAAGCCACAAGGTCCAGGACTCAACTGTGATCAGTCACATTGGAGTGTCCAGTGCCTTAACCACCATGCCACCTGCTGGTCCGCATTCTGCCTATGATTTTTTAGTCCACATCAATGGAATCACATAGCAAATATTCAATGTATCTTTTGCATAACATCCCATTTTCCAGATTAATCCACCTTATGTGTGTTATCAGTAGTTAATTTTTATTGCTGAGTAATATTCTTTTATGAATGTCCCAAAATTCTTTTCAGAATTCTTTTTTATTATTTTTTTAAACTTGCTATAGGGTGGGACCAGCAGTTAGTGTAATGGCTATGTCACTGGACTCTCACATAGTCGACCGTGGTTCGCGTCCTGGACCCGGTGGCTTAAAACTCATGCTGGGCACGTGTGCGTGCATGCCCAAGATCCCAAGAGGAGAACGGAGGAGAAGGGATTGCGGCGTGGCCATCTCCCCTGGGGGGTGATTTCTCGCTTTCTGTCTCTGTCTGTCTGGCGAGCGCAAGCGCCCTATAGCAAAAACCTCTCCAAAAAAAAAAAAACTTGCTATAGGACATGTGTGCTTACCTGAGAGAGAGAGAGAAAGCTAGGGGCCAGCAGGTAGTGTGGTGGTTAAGGGAGCTGGACTCCCACATGGCCGACTACGGTGTGAGTCCTGGACCTGGTGACTCATTGTCTCCCTCTCTGTTCCTCTCTGATCAAATTAAAATAAAGTTAAATAAAATAATTTTTTTTTTAAAAGAAAGGTTGTTAGGTCTGGGACTCAAACAAGAGTTGGCCATGTGGGAGTCCAGCATCTTCACCATCATGCCAACTGCTTGCCCCATCCCACATTTTTTTTTTTTTTAAGAGGGAAATTTTTGCTATAGGGTGCATGAACTCACCAAAGAGAGAATGATAAATCACACCCTGGGGGGATAGCCACAATGCAAGCCCTTCTCCATTCTCCTCTGGGGATTTTGGGCATGCACTCACAAGCGTCCAGTGTGAGTTTTAAGCCGCTGGGTTCAGTACTCGAAGCACAATCAACACTTGGGAGTCCAGCGACATAACCATTATGCCATCTACTGGTCCCTACAATTTTTTAAAAACAAATCTATCCATGGGGCCAGCAGGCAGCAGGGAGGTTAAGGTGGCTGGATCCCACAAGACTGATGGCACGGTTCAACCTCTGGACCCAGTAACTTGAAAACAGCTGGATGTATGTGCCCAAAATCCAGAAAGGAAAATGAAGGAAAAGGAATTATGTCATTGCCATTCCCCCCTAGAGGTTGATATCTCACTCCCCTTAGCGCTCTGGCTAGTGTTCAGGCCTTATAACAAAACTAAAAACAAAAACAAAACTTATTCATGAAGGAAGATTTAATTTTGTTGTTGAATTATAATTATCTTGGTTACAAATACAAACAGCTTTCTTAAGAATTGTCATAAGAAATAGAAGGAAGTATTGTAAAACCAGAGAGAAGTTTCACACATTCTTCTTTATCTACTTTTACAAAACTTACCAGAAACAGGATATAGTGATCCAAAAAGGGGTGAAATAACATAAACTCCCTTTTTTCTTTTTTTTTTTCTTGAAGAGGTTTTCGCTATAGG